ACTCACAGCGCCCGTGGGGCGAGCCAGCGACGCCCCCCGCACACGCGCGCTCGCGCGCACACACGTACACACGCGCTCTTACACCCTCGCGCACACACGCGCGCGCCGGCCGGGGCAGCCTGGCCCCACGCGGGACGCCAGCCAAGTTCAAGGGGCCCCGGGTCTCCCTGCGCTTGCCGGGGATGATTGCAGCCCCGCCGAGAGCCGGGTCCTGTGTCCTCTCCCTGGCAGCCCCCCACCCCCCTCCCTTGCTTAGGACCCTCCAGGATAAGAGGAGGGGAGGGGGCCTGTGGCTGGCGGTGGAGCAGGGACAAGGCTCCTGGACCCAATGAGCCAGGTCGTTCCTTCCCGTAGGTGTCCGGCTCCCAGCTCAGCAGTGTCTGGTTCCCCCTGCCTGCAAGACTGGCAGGGTTGTACTGGTGGCACTGGCAAGGCTTGAGGCGAGTGCCCTCCATGACTGCCTCTGCACATACTGAGCACCAACTCCCTAAATGTTACTAAAGCCCTGGGGATCTCTGGGAATAACAGCAAACAGTAACAGGTAAAAGGTAAAAGCAGGTGCCCGACGTAACCCAGAAGGTAAAGCATCCGCTTTGAATCCCATTTACTTGACAGGATTACAGGTTTGGTCGATTTGAGGTTGCATAGGGGGATTTGTCTAAGGTATTTGATCTGGTACCACATGACATTTTGATTCAAACCCTCATATGATATGGCTTTAAGAGAGTACACAGTAGATGGTTCATTGATATCTCAAAGTGTAGATGATCATTAGGAGATAGATATCCATGAGTTAGGCAGCTCCCCTGGAATCAGGTTTTGCTCAATACTAATTAATATTTTTATCAACAAATCTCTGCCAGTTAAGTTCACGAGATTGGTGTTTAAGCAAATGAGGAGGTTACGCTCACAAAGCCATCTGGACCTCTTGGTTAACTGGATAATGATAGATCCACATGCAAGATAATATGTCCTGGGAACAGGAATGAAGATTCTACAGACTGGATGGAGACATTGTCTTGGACAGTGGTGACTTGGAAGAGGATTGAGACGTTAATACCTGTAACTGCCTCAGAAGGCACCCTGACTGCAAGGCTGTGGCAAAAAAACAACAACCTTGAACATATATGAAAGGAAAAAAACCTAAAAATATGGAAGTACAAAAGTGATCTTATGTTCACCGACTGTGGTAAGACTCCCGCTAGAATACTGTGTGCAGTTCTGGTATTTTGTGGAAAAATATTAGAAACGAAAGGAGAGCCACAAGAAGGATCCTAGTGCTGGAAAGTCTTACAGTATGAAACATAAGGAAGTCAACTTATTTACTTTGTCCAAGAGAAAGCTGAAAGTAGTCACTGTATATAAGTATTTATACATAGAAAACATACACTATAACAGAGGATGTTTTTACCTTGCTGAACTGGGTATAAGAAGACCAGTGGCTGGATCTTGAAGTTATATAAATTAAAATTCTTATTATGGCATGATTTCCTAGTAGTCAAGATAATTAGGCATTAGGGGACTTCGTACACATCATGTTTTTTTTGCCCTTTCTTGTGCTGCAATGGCTTGACTGTTGGCACAAGTGAGTTTTTGGATGCTTTAAAATTCTTTATGGCGCATTAAAGTAAAACTTCTTGGATGCAATTTAGTTTGGCTCATCACGAATTAAAGTGTTGCATCCATGGATTTGTTGCACATGCACACGTGCGCGCACACACACACACACACACACACACACACACACACACACACACACACTCAAAGACGTGTAATAAGACTCCTTGTCCACCAGATGGCGCTGCAACTTTTTTGTAGTTCACCCTTTTGAATTGCTTCTGCTTTTTTTTTCTTGTGCTATTTGCTGGCTCCCTGCTTCCACAGCTGCATGGCAAGACATGGACACAGGGTGGGGGGCAGGGTGCCCAGGCCAGAGGGCAGTGCTGGACCATCCCACTCTCCTGCAGCACTGGCCAAGGGACCGTGCTTAGTTCATTCAAAAACTTAGTGCGTGCAAACACTAATGCAACACTCCAAAATAAACAAGTTTAAATTTTATAAACCTATTTAATTTAATGAGGATTAAAACCTATGGTGTGTACAGGCACCCTAGAATGGCTTACCTGATTAGATGTAGGGTGGAGAGTGGGGGAGGCTCACCATCACCTGGTGAGATTGGATATCTTTTCTAAAAGAGATGCTTTGATGCCCAGCTTTTGGGGAAATTCTTCAACATGTGTCTGTGGGCCAAGAGCAGGGTTGGATGGTTGTGGTGGTTTGTTCTGTCTTTATTACAGGTGGATATTAGTCTCCCTGTTCATCTCCATACTACATGGCCCTGGAGAGAATTGAATTACTTGCATTGCACGTCACACTTGCAGCTTTGCATTAAGGCATTGACTAAAATCATATCTCATGCTTCTGGTTTTCCCCCATGCTGGGGTGAGGAATATTTTTTTTTCTACAAATACCAGTATTTACTTTGGCTTGATTTTTGTTTTGTTTGTTTTGTTTTTTTAGCAGAGATTAGCCCTGGTTGGAGACAGGAAACTGAACAGGGTGAGCCAGTGCTTTCAGGTGTCAGTTAGGTTGTCTGGTTTATGCGGTCACCAAATCTAGGGATAGGAAGAAATTTTTCCCCTGGGTTAGACTGACAAGCATCTTGGGGGATTTGTCTTTCTCAGCAATAAAGCATGTGGCTCACCCACCAGGATCACATGGTAAGATCTCATCTAATCAGTTCCTTGCCACTGCAGCTAGGGGTTTCCAGCACTGTTGGCACCTCTGTTCTTGGTCTCTGGCACAGTAGTTTATACCACTGGTGCTCAACCTGTGGTCCGCAGGCCAGATCTGGCCTGCAGGTCAGACCATGTCATCTGGCCTGCAAGACTCCCCACAAGTCCAGAAATTTGTTGAGGATGTGGAGGCAATTAACGTGGCCACAGCTTCCCCACCACCACATTTCCAAACCCCGCAGCCAGATGATATGACCCCATGTGCCAGATCAGGCTGGAATGTGGGGCTGGATGACAGGCCTGATCCATTGTACATGAGGCCAGGGCTGGGGTGACAAGCCCAACCCAGCATATGAAGGGCTGGGCTGGGGCAGCAGGCCCAATGCAGCACACATGGGACTGGGGTCAGGCCAGGGCAATGAGCCTGATCTGGCACACATGGAGCCAAGGCAGAGGGGCCCAATCCAGAATGTGCAGGGCTGGGGGAACAGGCCCAATCTAGCCAATCCTGCACTGGATCAGGCCCACTGACCAATCCCACATGTGGAATCCAGCCTGTTGACTGACCCCACACAAATCTTCTGACCCACATTCCAGAAAGTTTGGACACCATTGGTTTACACTCTTGAGGACAGAAATGCTTTGGTTTAGATAAAGTCATTGTGCTTAATCTAGAGGTATCTGGGTAAAACATCATGGTCTGTGATATACAGGAGTTCAGACCCAATAATCTGGCCTTCTGGCCTTTAACTCTATGAAATAAATAAAGATAGCAAAGCAGACCATAAATTGCCAATGTTATGAACACGAATGCCTGTTTTTCAGGATCATAAATGAATCCAACATGGTCTGACATCAACAGAGCCAACAGCCTGTTGGCCTGGATGAATATAATTTTGGGAATGTGTTTGGATTTGAGTTTAATGTTTGGTCTGGTACTGAATACAACAAAAACAAGCAAATTATAACAGAAAAGTGATAGTGTTATGGCCTCTAACTATTTTATCAATTTCATAGTTGAAATATTTGACCTAATTAAAGTCACTGCATTTAATATAGAGCATTTGGTGAAGAGACCATAGGATCAGAGAAAAGTAGGGCTGGAAAAGACCTCACAAGTTCATCTAGTTTAGCCCACTGCTCAACACAGCAGGATCACCCTGACTAAACCATCCCAGCCAAGTGTCTGTCCAATCTGCTCTTGAAAATTTCCAGGGATGGAGCTTCCACAGCTTCTCTAGGTTGCCTGTGCCAATGCTTACCCACCCACATAGTCAGAAAGTTCCTCCTAATCTCCAACCTAAACTTCTTCTGCTGCATCTTGAGAGTCCATTGCTCCTAGTCCTGTTCCCTACAGCC